CCGTCTCTACTAAAAATACAAAAAATTAGCTGGGCATGGTGGCACGTGCCTGTAATCCCAGCTACTCAGGAGGCTGAGGCAGGAGAATTGCTTGAACCCAGGAGGCGGAGGTTGCGGTGAGCCTAGATCGCGCCATTGCACTCCAGCCTGAGTAACGAGCGAAACTCCGTCTCAAAATAAATAAATAAATAAATAAATAAATAAATAAATAAATAAATAAATTCAGCAGCAAAAACTTTATAACAAAGGGTAGATGAGAAAGTGCCATCAACACCACTCTATAAGTTATGGTGCTATTTTTTAATACTCATCTATTTTAATAATATCCTACATGACTGCTCCAATATACAATTAATTTTCTGCCCTTTTGGAAAAGTATTGCTTTATGATATTAATTCACTTGAAAACTGACAAGTAATATAATTTGGGGTCTTTTTAAAACCTTGTAAAACTGCATTCTATTTTCAGTAAATCATGAAACTATTTTAAACTCTTCTATCAAAATCAAGGGCAGAGTCTCAAAAATCAGTTATCAGCAGCTAGGCATGGTGGCACATACCTGTAATACTAGCTACTATGGAGGCTGAGGTGGGAGGATCACTTAAGCCCAGGAGTTCAAGTCCAACCTAGGTAACATACTAAGACTCTTAAAAAACAAACAAACATAGCTGGGCATGGTGGCGCATGCCTGTAATCCCAGCGACTCAGGAGGCTGGGGCAGAATTGCCTGAACCCGGGAGGCCAAGGTTGCGGTGAGCCGAGATCGCGCCATTGCACTCCAGCCTGGGTAACAAGAGAACTCCGTCTCAAAAAAAAAAAAACAAACGAACAGAAAAGGTGGGGCTGGGCAAGGCTGTGAGAGCTTCCCTTGAATTGACCCTGAGAGGGTGAGGAGAATTCCATGATCGAGGACTCGGAGGTGGACCTCCCAAACAAAGGCACAAAGCTGTGAAAGTCCAGGTCAGATTCTGAGAACTGCGAATCATGTGGAATTTAAAACAATAAAAAGGACTTCGATGAACAACCATGCCATTTTTAGCTCTTGCGTGATCTTCAACTATTGTCAAAGCTAACCACTATGTATTATTCCTATTACATTTGTTTTCTCCCTTTTCTTTTTTAAAATTCATTTTTCACTACAAGATGTGGTTGCCTATGCAAAGATTTCTCTGTATGGTTTAACAGAATACTGTGGAATTCTTTCAACTATATCCCTACCCTAAATGGCACTGGCCCAACGCAATGAAGATCACACAAGCCACGCTGGTGGGAATGGGGAAGTAGTACACCTTAAAAACAGCATTCAAAGCATTTTTACTTGGAAAACTACACACAACGTAAGAGCTAAAAATGGCATGGTTGTTCATCGAAGTCCTTTTTATTGTTTTAGATTAAATTCCACATGATTTGCAGTTCTCTGAATCCGACCTGCACTTTCACAGCTTTGTGCCTTTGTTTGGGAGGTCCACCTCCAAGTCGTCGATCATGAAATTCTCCTCACCCTCTCAGGGTCAATTCAAGGGACGCTCTCACAGCCTTGCCCAGCCCCACCTTGTATATGGGAAGTTGTATTCATGTTGTAAACTCCTTATTTATCCTGGGTTTTACAAACTCGCACATCTTTCTTATCATAGCACCTGTTACAGTACATCAGAAGGCATTTAAGAAATTAAAAAAAACAAATCGAGTTAAGCTCATTCACCACAAAATATGATCAAATGAGGATTAAAATTGTCACAGATGACCAGGTGCAGTGGCTCACATCTGTAATCCTAGCACTTTGGGAGGCTGAGGAGGGTGGGTTGCCTGGGCAACACAGTGAAACCCCATCTCTACTAAAATACAAAAAATTAGCAGGGTGTAGTGGTGTAACGGTGTGCACCTGTAGTCCCAGATACTCAGGAGACTGAGGCAGGAGAATTGCTAGAATCATGGAGGCAGAGCTGAGATTGCACCACTGCACTCCGCCTGGTGACAGAGCGAGACTCCGTCTCAAAAAAAAAAAAAAAAAAAATTGTCACAGATAGTCAAGATATTGAGAAGATACCAAGCAGATATCCAAGAATGACTCCAGAACACTTTTACCAGATTGCATCCCCCTATAGGTGCAGAGCTGGGCCTATGGAAGCCCTGGCTCCTGGCTGCCTGATTGTGATGGTGTCCTGTGCTTCCTTGAAAAGGGAGGCCTGTGCCACCTGCAACTCCCTCAAAGTAGCTCCAGAGTCAGTGACCTCTCCAGGAACACACTTGCTTTCATCACAGAGAGTAGGCACTACAGGGCTTAAGAACAGCGAAATTAGTCCCATTAAAACTGTTTTAGACCTCCCTGCAAGACAAGTTAGACCAGGCTAGCTCCTGCCTCCCTTCTTGGGGGTGCTGGCTAATGACTTCTTTAGGTCTTCCTTGACAATAACTTCAGTACATAAACTTTTTCCCAAAGAGGAGGGGAACGGGCAAGGAAAGGAGGGAATTACTAAGTTGACAACAATCTTTTGGCAATTTTCCTACTATAACTTCTCACTGTTACTTAAAAGGGAAGAAAATAGGCCTCCAGTATCTGCCACTGTCTCTTCAAACACCTAAACTGTTCTGGGATGGTTTGCAGCTGTAATTTCATGTCTTAAAATTAACGCCAAAGTCCTCCTTCCACCCCAAATCCTGCTACTTTCTCCTAAACACAGCAGAGAGGTGAGGGTTCTCTGTGTGCTTTCCCTTTTATCTTCCTTTATGACTAAACTGATTATGAAATGACACTGAAAAGTCCAGCATCACCAGGAAAAGAGCCTCAGGCTCCTTCTACCACACGTCTAACAAGGTACAGCCTGGATGGCACATTCACCTTCATATTTTCTCTATCTCTTAGAACTGCCCCTACACAAATTAACAAGGCATCTGTGAGAAATGCTAGATTTAAAATTGCTAGGAGAAGGCCTACCAATGTCCTTCCTTAACAACTACAAATTTTCCCAGCAGGTATTTTGCTTCTTCCCTGATCTGTCCAGAGCACTGGTATGTGACGCTTGCACATATACATGGATAATTATTTAACCTAACTGATGAAAATGTGATATACAAATGTATATTATGAAATAAAAGTTTTAAATGTGTAATAATGAGAAACAATGTTTTTTAAAACTCTTGTGTTCAAAACTTAATCCCAAGTGCAAAAGTGTTGAAAGGTGGGACCTTTGAGTGGTAATTAGGTCCTGGGGGCTCTGCCCTCAGGAATGAATTAATTTTGTTATTGAGGGAGTAGTTTATAAAAGTGAAATCGGACCCCTCTTGTTTTCTCATGTTTTCTTGCCCTTCCACCTCCACCAAGGGATGACAGCAAGAAGGCCCTCCTCAGATGCCAGTCCATTGATCTTGGACGACCCCGACTCCTGAACTACAAGAAATAAAATCTCTTCTTTAAAAATTACCCCATCTGTGGTATCCTGTTACAGCTGCACAAAACAGACTGACTGTTACCAACAAATACATAAGTCCATTACAACAAAAATTCAAACTTCTTAAAGGTATAGAACTTTGAGACCAGAAGGTATCCTGGAGACATACTTGTCTAAAGCAAAGACAATACTGCAACCAGCAGCCACCCAAAAAGATGAAAAGTCAGAAAGCCATGGTCTTTTTGAAGACACACTCCAAAGGGCTGAGCAGCACCTATTCAAATAGTGAGACAATTCTGTAGTGCTGAATCCTATCCACCTCCCAGGGACACCATCCCAAGGATACCACGAAACAAATGTAAACATGAACAGTTCAAGTTAGTTACCAAGATACTTAAGTTAGTATCTGAAAGGAACAAGTTTCCTAACAAAATGTGTACATTATTTCAAGCGTTTTAAAAAGCATTTTAATGCAGCTAAACACCTGAGGAAAATGCATTTCCAGACCTGCACTCCCAGAGTATGGAGATTAACAACATGTAGATGTGTATATATCTATTTTCAGGACTGTAAGAATTTCCCAGAGTACTGTGACATTAAAATTTAAAAAATTTTTAAACTCTACCTTGGGATTTCCACATTGTAACCCTTAGTTAGAAATATATTTTGTGTTTTGGAACTCTCTGGAGCGTTAGGGCTGGCGTGTTTTCTTTGCGGGTGTTTTTAAACGACTCAGTGGGCTGGCTGCAAGTTTGTTAGGATCTTGTTCTAATTACCTCCTGCATTAACCACCCACCATGGATGGGAGGCACGCGGCACTTGCTTGGCATATGTAGCTTCAGAGGGAAGGGAGACCAGCAGAGATCACTGAAAACTGCAACCGAGACCCTGAGAAATTCCAGCTCTCCGGTCTCCCCTCTGGTCCCTTCGACTTTCTGTCTGGTGACCTGCCACGTCATCCAAACACTCCTAAGAGTGCCTGCGGGAACCCCGCTTCCCACTACCCAACCAGAGAGGCAGACCCAAACCAGGCGAGGCGCAACTCCGGACCGCGTAGGGCGCCGCCAGGACAGCGCGGCCGGGTGAGGGGGCTTCGCCGCCGAGCACCCTCGGGCCTCCGCGGCCGGGCGGGAGGACGCCTCTCGACTACACTTCGGCCGCTCGCCACCCAAGGCCGGAAGGGCGTGAGGGAGGACTCAGTCTAACTCCGTGGAGCCCTCGGAGTTCCAGCGCAGACACCCGAGGGGGTGTCCCCGGGAACTCCCTCGCCCGTGACATCCGCCCTTCTGAGGCTCCTGACCCCAGCAACGCGGCAGGGCAGCCGGGGGCCCGGGCCCGCCTCGCGGTCTGTGAGCGGCGCAGCTCTTCCTCCGCGGGGCCGTGAAGGCCGCCAGCTGCCCCCGCGCGTCCAGCCGCCCGGCCCTGCCGCCTCAGCCGCCGCGTAACTGGCGGGTGGCCACGGGCGTCCGGTGCGCCGGCCCCGGCGCGTCCCCGAGCGCGTGCCCGGCCGGCCGGCCGCCCGCCCCCGCCGGCCGCGGCCCCGCGCAAGTTGCACTAACTTTCCGGGGCGGGGGAGGGGCGGGCGCTGCGGGCCCGGCTCCCCGGCCTTACCTGTGCTCAAATTGTCGTTGATTTTCAAAGGCACTCGCAGGATGTAGACCAGGAAGAGCACGATGAAGAACCACACGGTCCACAAATACGTCCAAGACCAAACTATGCAGGACTTGAGCTGCTCCAGAAAGCCCGTGCCCGCTTCAGCCATGTTTCGGCGCTGCTCTCTGCTGCCGCGGCTCTCGGTGTCTGCCGGGATGATTCACCGGCCCTGAGGCGCAGCTCGCGCCGCCGCCGCCGCCGCCGCGGCCCGGGCGCCCCCGGAGCCCTCCCGCTAGGGACGCGGGCGCGGCGGGAAATCGCGCGGGCTGCGGGCGTGCCGGCTTTTCCTTCTCCAGCCTTATTGCTAACTCTCTAAAGGCCCCTACAAGTGGCTTTCGTGGAGCGATCACGTGGCCCCTGCCCCCTCGCGTTCTGGGTCCATTTATATTTATTATGCTAATATTTAGAAAGACAAGGCCAAGTGGCGCGCCGAAGGAACCTCCTCAGGCAGTTACAGCCCGCATAGGTTGAGTGTTTACCACACGCCGGGCACAGCTCCAGGCTCCGTGCAGTCTCATTTAACCCCTGCGACAATACCCCCTACGATCCTCTTTCCATAGGCGGGGAAACTGAGGCTCAAAACAGCTGCGTAGTTTACCTTAAGGTGGAGCCAAAATTCAAGTGCAGTGATGTATTCTGGGGCCCGACGTCTTAAACCCTACACTCAGGATTCAGACTCAAGGAATGAATAAACTCGGGACAGCTAGGAAAAGGGAGGAGGTGCGCTCCCGTCGCCAGCTAGCTGGCCTGCAGATAAATCACTCTATTCAGCAAGATTTGGGTGGCAGATGCTATTTAGCTTTGTTCTGTCTCTTTGAAGCAGCACAGGGATTTTCCATAGTAATCTTGACAAGCTTGAATATCCTCCAGGTGATTATTACAAGTCAAACTATTCTCAGCTGGTTTTTAATATAAACAATTCTCTGGGGTAATTGAGGCTGACTGAACTGGACACCTTTAACAAAAAGTCCATTTGAAACATTTTTTTGTTTTGTTGTTTTTGTTTTGCCTGTGCTGAATAAAATCTTTATTTTATTACAAACTGTTTTCTCAACTGAAATTTTCAGGTCTGTTTCTATGTATTAGACTTTCTATGTATTAGATGGTAATGAGGCAATTGCAGGTTTTCCAGTCTACAGCTATTTTTAGAATTCTGAGCATAAAAAATATTTTATTATATATTTTGTTTTGCTTGTGTAATAGTTACCTCCATAATTAAATAAGCTATTTTAACTTTTCACATATAGGGCCCATTATGGCAGACATTATGGATGGAACTACTCTTACATTTTTACTGATTCCAGCTTCTCTCAGCTACTGTTTCTTCCTCACTTTTGATCTACTACTGGTGATATCCAGGCCAGGATAAGTGAAATTGGCACACACATACTTTATAGTTATTTATGGCAGCACATGACCAAATGATTTTTGTGTCTAACACTGATAAATGAAGTCTCAGTAAAATAAAACAACATTGTCACTGGTAGAGGGTTGTGACTGCAAGTTGTCCAAGCTCTTAGTGTTTTGAACAAAGAATTGGACAACACACCCTGCAAAGCGACAAAAGAAAGAAAACAGGGATTTATTGAAAACGTAAGTACGCTCCACAGTGTGGGAGCGGGCAGAGCAGTGGCTCCAGGGTCTGGATACAGAATCTTCTTGGGTCCAAGTACCCACTAGAAGTTTCCCAGTAGCCACTTCATGCTCACCTCATGTAAATGAAGGTAGCCCACGGTCAGTCTGATTGGTTGCAGAAAGCAGCCAACCAGAAACTGAAATGAAGTTATAAAGGTAACACTCCTGTGCAAACATTTGATTGGTTGCAAAAAACAAGTAATCAGAGTCTGGAGTGAAGTTACAAAGTTATAACTCCATGCAAACGAAGACTCCCCTGCAGTCTTGTTGTAGGGAGCAACCATTCAGAGGCTGGAGTGAAGTTCCGAATGAAGACTGGACCTGCAATTAGTCTGATTTGTTGCGGACATCCAATTTCCCATCTGCTAGGCAGAAAAGGTCAAAGGGAGTGGCCTCTGGGCCTTTAGTTACTTAGGTCTGGAAAGTTAGGGTTGTCCTTTCAATTTAGTTCTAGGAAGTCCTTAGGTTCCCTGCCTCAACATGGGTACATGAACCACCTATTTTATATGATGATTAAATAACCCACCAGATTCTCTGCAAGTCACTGAATTAGGATATTGACTACTTAATTTAAATGAACATCCAGAGGCCTAGCTTTTTCTGTCAATGAACCTCAATGAATGGACATGAATATGACTCCACTGAGTCACAATCTTCTGATGCTCTACTAGGCGCTCCTGGGAAGTCAGCCCTATATTACTCATCATTGCCTCTTCTGGTGTGTATCCTGGCATGCAGCAGAGGTTGTACACATGTCTTTGTGCTTCAAAACAGAAGTGAGTAAGCATAATCTCTAGCACACTGTGGCTGCTTCAGAAGAGCTGGAGTGCAGACTCTGCAGAGTGGTGTAGGTAGAGACAAGGCTAAAGATACAGGCCTGAGTCTGATTTTTAGGGTCTAGTAGAAACACTAAGGCGTTTGTAGTTATGGGGCATTGCACACTGCAATCCAAATGACCAACTCAGAGATTTATTTAAGTGAAGATTTAAGAAACATTAAAGAAGTAGGTGGTTCACACCTGCAATTCCAAACTTTGGGAGGCTGAGGTGGCAGAATCACTTGAGTCTAGGAGTTTGAGAACAGCGGAGGCAACATAGTGAGACCTTATCTGTACAAAAAAAATTTTAATTAGCTGGGTGTGGTAGTGTGCACCTGTAGTACCAGCTACTCAAGAGGCTGAGGTTGGAGGATCACAGGAGCCTGGGAAGTCGAGGCTTTTTAGTGAACTGTGATTGTGCCAGTCCCTCCAAAACAAGATCTTGTCGAAAGAGAGAGGAAGGAAGGAAGGAAAAAGAGACAGAAGAAGAAAAAAGGAAGGAAGGGAGGGAGGGAGAGGATGGAGGAGGAGAGGGAGGGGGAGGGAGGGAGGAAAGGAGGAAGGGAGGGTGAAGTGGGGAGGGAAGGAGGAAGGAAGGAGGAAGGAAGGAGGGAGGAAGGAAGGAGGGAGGAAGGAAGGAAGGAAGGAAGGAAGGAAGGAAGGAAGGAAGGAAGGAAGGAAGGAAGGAAGGAAGGAAGGAAAGGCAAAACTGACAGAACTTGCTGACTGATAAGACAAGCAGGAGAGGCTGGGCGCGGTGACTCACACCTGTAATCCCAGCACTTTGGGAAGCCAAGGCGGGAGGATTACCTGAGTCAGGAGTTTGAGACCCATCCTGGCCAACTTGGTGAAACCTCATCTCTACTAAAAATACAAAAATCAGCTGGGCATGGTGGCACATGCCTGTAGTCCCAGCTACTCGGGAGGCTGGGGCAAGAGAATCGCTTGAACCCAGGAGGTGAAGGTTGCAGTGAGCTGATATTGAGCTAATTGCACTCCAGCCAGGGTGTCACAGTGAGACTTTGCCTCAAAAAAAAAAAAAAAAAAAAAAAAAGGCAGGGCAAAGATAAAGGGGGCTCTTGAGCAGGACTATTAATAAAATAATGACACCCAGGTATGCCTAACTACCTCTTGACAAGCTGCCAAGGGAATGGTGCACAGCCACCGCAGCATCTTCACATGCAAAATGGAATGCATTACTTCTTCACCTCACATGTTCCTTTTAAAGTTCCATCAAGGAAGGGGCACCATCCTTCCAGTTCCCTAATTCAGAAATCTGAGCATCATGTACCTCCTTCCTCTCTACATTCAACTATGCATCAAGACTCAGACTGCCACTTCTCTCAGCCTTTGGTGATAGCCTGATCATCACTCATGGAGAACAAGGAAGCGGCTCCCTGCCTCCAGTTTCACCACCACCAGCACCACCACTGCCTTCTTCCATCCACTTTCCACACTTCTCTGCCAGTTACCTTTTAAAGCACAAATTCAATAACTCGCTTCTCCGTGCTTAAAATTATTTAAGGCCCCATCTTTACTGCACTCTTACTTTTATCCCAGTGTCTACCTAAAGGATGAAATCTAGATGGTATCCAGGCCTTCTGCAAGGGCACATCTACCTACCTTAATAGCACAAGCATTTTGGCAAACATGCTTTTCTTTTTCACACTTTTGGACCTGCTCCCCACAACCTCCCTATAATACACTTCTCTGTGCTCCACTTCCCTGACTAACATTCTTTTCCTGCCTCAACTGCCTGATAACAGGTTATTTAGAGATGCACTTGAAATACCACCTCCTTTGTGACACCAGATCCTCCACACCATCACCCCCACCCTCTGAGTTCACTGTCTCTTCCCTATGAGATGCAGCACCAGGAAGCTTATGGTGGGTCATTAAAAACCAGGCTTAGAGTAGACACTGCTGGGCTGTCTTCCTGATCCTGCCGTTCACTAAGTGGGTGCTCTTTGGCAATTTACTGAGTTACTTCATCTGTGCAATGGGTTACACTTACAGCTTTTACATATGGTTGTTGTGAAGACTGAGTGAGATGCATACCAAAAATGCTGAGCAGAATGCTTTGTTCATATCTCTCCTCTCTGTTATTAAATGGTGGCCTTTAATATTAACTAATTTGTTATTGTCGTGGTTAATTTTAGCCCTCTTCATTTTAATCTAGTATAAATTGTGTGGTGTTTGGCACATGGTGTATGCTGATAAATACCAAGAATTGTATCAAAAAAGGAAAAATCAATTACGTGAAAAGAAATTTCAAATCTTACATTTCACAAACACAGACACAAAGGATACTGTTACTAAGATTTAACTCAAGGGCAAAAGTTAAGATTTGGCCACCACCACACAGTAAGCTTTTTTGAGAGTTTATTTCTAACCACCTTTGGAATGGATAATAGTTAAATGACCATTAACTTATAATAACTATATCAAAAGCAATATGCTCCTAAATTCCTCTTAAATTGGTTTATATATTTGGTTAAAGTATACACCTTAGTCTGATAAACTATCTGAGCTGAATAAGAAACCAGTATCTAGCAAAGAACTTTAAAACGATTTCTCTTTTGTTTCTTGTTTTGTGATATTTGGAAGGACATATGCTTATATTGACTGTCATAGTCTTTAGTCTTATACTTTGTTATTAAGAATCCACTTTTGTAAACAATTTTCAGAGTTCATCTGAAATTTAAACACAATAAATAACTGTTCTGACTTTTTGGGTTTTATTTTAAAAATCTCATCCATGTTCACTGGTTGGATTTTTGAATTGTCAATTACCTATACTCATGAATAACATCCTACATAACTGGTTATCCTTATTTAGTGACTTACCTAGACGCGAATAAGTGCAAATCCAACCTGTTTGGTTTAGAGATATAGTAAGAGCAGAAAAACAGGTTTGGAAGGGAATTTGCCACTTCTAACTTCTTCAAGTCAACACACTCTCTCATGAAATATTGAAGAGATAGAATTTCAACAACCTGTATATAATTGAAAAGATGATTTCAGTAGCAAAAATCTTGGGGAGACATTCTCTAAGATATAATTCTGCATGTATAAGGGATAATGCATTTCCATAATCAACATACACTGCACATACATCTTAATCTGACAGTGAAAGATTCACAATGACCAAGTTCAGACACTATATATTATTATCACATTTACCTTTTGTTTTGCCATTCCTTACAAAGATATCTTAATTTCTATATAAAGCCTTTCATAGACATGTCAACACTCAGTGACGTTCCTTAGCATCACTGATTTGTTTAAAGTATCAAAATTATTGTAATAAAACAAGCTATGTTGATATATGGAATAATTCATTTTTTTTTTTTTAATTAAAGACGGGGTTTTACCATGTTGGTCAGGCTGGTCTTGAACTCCCGACCTCAGGTGATCCACCTGCCTTGGCCTCCAAAGTGCTTGGATTACAGGCCTGAGCCACCGCACCCGGCCTGATATATGGAATAATTCTAATAGCAAGAATACAAAATAAAACAATCAGGCCGGGCGCAGTGGCTCCCTCCTGTAATTCCAGCACTTTGGGGGGGCCAAGATGGGTGGATC